CCTGCTGATATTTCTGGGGAGAACCTCTTAAATAAACCATTTACTCCCAAATCCTTGTCTTGGGGTGTTTCTGGGGAAAGCATACTGAGAATTCCTCTCCATTCTTTCTTACTCCACTTCTTTTATTTATTTATTTTTTAAACAACATGTTGCCTAGACAACCTCCATGGCCTGTGGGCTCTAACATCCAGTGGTTTCAGTGAAATCAACCAAATTTCTCTACCAAACCGAAACTGGCCATGGAGGTGACTTCTGAACGAAGCACTGCCTCAGTCGGAGCTGTAGCTGAATTTCTCTTCATTCTTCTGGGAGGTGCTGGCAGGCACAGCCTGGTTCCCCTGCAGTCAGGCTTTCCTGCTGCACTTGCCGGGATGCTGCTGACCTCTGCAGAGAAGGCTTCAGCTGCAGACCCTGCCTTTGTCCAAGGTCCCTTCTCCAGGGTGACCACTGTGGAACGACTGAGGGATGCTGGAGTAGAAAGGCCTGGCCCTTTCTGTCCCAGGGGCGATGACTCAAGAACTACGCTAGCTCTAGAGTGCCCCCTGGAGCAGGCACCCAAGCTCAACTTCTGACTCCCTTGCTTCCTCCCCACCCTCCAAAGGGCCCTCCTTCAGCATCCTGCGTGCACAAGTCCCCCTCAGAAAGCCCACCTGCAATGAGTTCCTTCTACATTTGATTCATTATGTCACAAGAGTCGCAGCCTCTGAGCGTTGTCAATTAGGGATGTGTCCTTTTAATGCTGTGAGACTGGGAAGGGGTAGAGATAAGGTGGAAAATAAACTCGGTTTTGAATAAAATGGGAATGAGGCAGTTAGGTCTGAGATGTGGTTTCAGTTTCTCAACAAACACAAGAGATACACAAAAGGTCAGCACAGCCAGTGAAACTGAAAGCTGAGAATGCAGACAATGCTGTCACAGAGAGTGACGAAAGGGAGAAACATCTTGGAGAGGAGAACAAGGATGTCCTTGCTGAGGGGGAAGCAGACTGTACGCATCAGACACACTCAGCAGAAACCCACTGGCTAGAAACAGCCGCTCTGAAGGAGGGCCCTCTGCTTCAGGAAACTCCATCCACCGTAGAGGTACTGTCCCAGGGTATGAGAAGGGCAAGGGGCATCCTGGGAATTCCCGCTAATTCAGCTCAGGGCTGGGTCAAAGCTCTCGAAGAGACCAGGGGCATTCCAGGGTGCTGCTGCGAGGCACTGGGGCCTTTACTGAGAACTTCCCCAAGACTAAACACACGGGCCAACGGCGGTATGGTGATGCAGGTGGCTGGATTCCACAGGGCACATGGCAGTTCCAATCCCAGACCTGGAGGCCTGAAAAACACGCAGGGTGCATGGTGTGCCTAAAAACCTGACGGGAGGGAGAAATGGAGGAGAAGCAATTGCAGCGTGACCATTCTCCATGGGGTTGCTTTTTAGCTCTCTCTCCCTCCAGTGAATACACAAATCCTCTGGGGAAAACAACAACAACAACAAAAAACCAGAAACAGAAACAAAAACAAAAACAAAAAGGACTGGCAGGACTTGGACGCTCAGCCCACAGGCAGACCTGCCTCTGGAGAGGAAGCCAGAGGTGCCACTCTGCCAATGGCTCTGCCCAATCATGCCAACCGGTCACACCCTCTGCTGGGCTGTGACTTCCAGGAGAGGGGCAATGCTGGCGTGGATAAGAAAGGTGGCTGAGGGACCAGCAGTTAGCGTAATGGCTATGTCACTGGACTCCCACATAGTCGACCACGGTTCAAGTCCCAGACCCAGCGGCTTCACGCCGGGCGCGTGTGTGTGTGCCCAAGATCCCGCGAGGAGAATGGAGGAGAAGGGATTGGCCATCCCCCCTGGGGGGTGATTTCTCGCTTTCTGTCCGTCTCTGGCGAGCGCACGTGCCCTATAGCAAAAACCTCTCCAAAAAAGAAAAAAGAAAAAAAAAAGAAAAGAAAGGTGGCTGAGATTTGAACTCAGGTGGTGAGCACGGGCATCTCTGAGAAGGCAACACCTGGGCATGGACCAAACGGAGGTAAAGGAGCTAGTCTTGCAGTTTTCTGAAGGAGTGGTGATGCCAGTAGAAGGAAAGTGTGGGGGCCAGCAGATGGCATAACGGTTATGTCGCTGGACTCCCACTTAGTTAACCCTGGCTTGAGTCACAGACTGGTGCTTAAAACTCACGCCGGGCCCGTGTGCATGTGTACCCAAGATCCCAAGAGGAGAACAGAGGAGAAGGGACTGTGTATGCCATTCCCTCTGGGGGGTGATTTTTCACTTTGTCTGTCTCTTTCTGTCTCTCCGGAGAGCACACATGCCCTGTAGCAAAAATCTCTCTTTAGAAAAAGAAAGAAAGCGTTGTGAGCAGGAACAGTGCTGACACCCAAAGTCCTT